CAGGCTGTAGAGGAATTAGTGAAAGAACAGCTAGATAAGGGACATTTAGTAGAATCAACCAGTCCCTGGAATACACCTATATTTGTCATTAAGAAAAAATCCGGTAAGTGGAGACTATTGCAAGATTTAAGAGCAATAAATGAAACCATGCATGACATGGGGGCTTTACAGCCTGGTCTGCCTTCACCGGTGGCAATCCCCTTTGACTTATTTATTATCGTTATAGACCTGCAAGATTGCTTCTTTACGATACAATTAAGTCCTGAGGATTCTCAGAGATTTGCTCTCAGTGTTCCATCAACGAATTTAAAACAACCTTTTCAAAGGTATCAATGGAAAGTACTTCCTCAGGGGATGAAAAATAGTCCAACTTTATGTCAAAAATTTGTGGATAAAGCATTGAGAGATATCATGATCAAATACAAGGATGCTTATATAATACATTATATGGATGATATTCTATTGGCGCATAAAACTGTAGCCAATTAATAATTAAGGGGAGAATTAGATCAAAAGAATTATTTGGTAGAGATGTGCATAGTATAATTATCCCTTATACATAACAGCAATTAGAGTATTTATTGCAAATGATGATGACTGGGGATTGGCATTATTAAATTATACAGAGAAAATCAAAATTCATGTACCTCAGAATCCATTATTGAAATTTGTTAAAGAAACAGAAATATTTCCATCAAAAGTGTCTCAGGAACCTATATTAAATGCCATGTTGGTATTTACAGATGGCTCCTCTAATGGAACTTCTGTGGTTTTTACACCTGGCAGTCCACCTATTATCAAAAGGAAGGAAGGTTTATTTGCTCAGCAAGCAGAAATAATTGCGGTCATATCTGCAGCTGAGACCTTTAGACAACCTTTTAACCTCTATACTGACTCTAAGTATGTGGTTAACCTTTTTCCAGCCTTAGAGACTGCTCTGTTATCTGGAAGCTCAAAAATTCTACTTTTACTACAAAAATTACAAAGTATGATTATTAACAGGCAAAATAAATGTTTTATTGGTCATATAAGAAGACATACTAATTTGCCAGGTATGCTATCTTTAGGTAAGAAATTAACAGGCTTATTAACCAAAGAACAACTTATGGGAAACTCCCTGTGAAAGGAGCTGCCCGGCAGTATTCTGAGGACTCCCCAGTAGGGGACCTGCATCAGCCTCGGCTGTTGGGCAGTACCAGCAAACTCCCTGAGAGGGGACTTGCATCAGTCCTGGCTGCTTCTGCTTCCCCAGTCTGACCTCCGGTTTCTCTCCCCACACCACCAGCAAGGTAAGAGCACTCGAGAAACCACTTTTGTTTTTGGTTTCTCTCCTTGTTTTGGCTAGCTGGCGATCTGTCGCCATCTGGTTCTGAGCTCTGATCAGAGAGACTAGGTGGGAAGCTGGACGCAGCAAATTTCCCCCAGTCAGGTTCCAGAGGAGACGTTCCTGGACCCGCCTGTCCTGAGCCCAAA